GCGAGGCCGTGCACCTGATGACCGAAATCTCCTTCGGGGAGAGCGCCAGTGCGCCACAGTCCTGCTGAGATTCGAGCCTGCTGTGCAGTGCTCCGTAGTCGGTGTATCTTGCGGAACCTAGCTGCGGCTGAGCTCTGTCGCTTCCTGGCTTTGGCTTGTACCCGTCGAGTAGCCGCAGCCGCGTCAACTCCGAGGTCGACGGCCGTGGCGGTCGCAGTAACTGGGATGTCGTACTGCCGCAACTTCTTGGATAGCGATTTGCGGACCTTGGGGGTGGAGCCGATGAGGACCGTCTTGTCAGAGATAGGCAGCTCGAACTCCATCAGACCGTCGCAGAGCGTCTTGGCGGCACGGGGGAGGTGCTTCTGTAGTGTGCGTAGGACTCCTTCGACTCGAAGGACAGCGTCGTCTACGAAGGTCCACATCTGGGCAAGCTCTGCCTGAGCTTGGGCTTGCCGTAGAATAGGAAGTAATCTGAGTCGTGCCAAGGTCGTGCCGTGCGGGGAGCCTGCGATGATGCCTTTGGAGGAGAAGATAGGCATACTCACCCATTGTCGACTGCGCAAGAATCTGGGCGCCAGGTATAGCTGTACTTCCAGTAGTAGAATGATGGGGGGAAAGCCGCAGTTGAGGCCGACCATAATGAGGTTGGCGAGCTTGATATTGTCGTAGAACTTCTGGATGTCTAATAGCAATGTGGCTGACTGTATGCCAAGTGCTGAGGCTATCTCGTCTAACAAGGCCCTGTGTAGGGAGGCCTGGAGAGCTGAGGAACCTTTGATGGCTGTAGTCCAGAAGTCGTCCAGGCCTTGGGTCCAGGATGTAGATGCAGTCGATCTGTTGCGAGACCAGAGTCTGGCCATGTGAGGTAGCATGCCGAGGACCCTGTCGCCTCCAGACTTCTTGGCTGCGAGGGCTGCAATAGTGCCTGAGATTTGTAGCGGCCAGATGCCTGCATGCTCTACTGCATTGAGGATATCCGCATAGGCTTCGACTGCTGGTTCTGGTAGTCGATGGAGGTCGCGAGGTCCAAGGGCGTCAACTCCATGTGCTTTACTGGGTGGCATGCGGCCGTGAAAGCGGTGTACGATCTCGGCTGTGATGGGCTCGAGCGGTTGGCGAGCGGCTGCTGCCTTGGCCTTTGACAGCGCCTGTAGGATGTCGTCGGGGGTCTCGGTGGCCTGCCATACTTGTTGCCATTGTTGCTTCTTGCTGTCCATGATGACGGTGGGGTCGGCAATGGTCTGGTTGGTCGTGTAGGCCTCGATGTGACGTACGGGCGCAGGCTTGACATGGGCGTGTAGTACTCCAGGGCGGTGTTTCCATTGCTTGGCGAGCCAAGCACCGTAAGCCCTCTTGGACTTAGCGAGGGCTGCGGATAGCGCCCTGGAGGCCCAAGTAGCGGTAATGGTGACCAAGTCGTCGGTGTCCTCGTTGTCCAAGTGTGGGGCCCAGACTAGTGCAAACCAGCGGAAAATGGTGTCCTCGTCCTTCTCGAACTGGAGGTCGTGGAAGTGAGTGTTGAAGTGGTCCGCCCGCTGCTGGATGATGGAGGCCTGCTGCTGCATGAGCGCTGCGTGCTTGGGCTTGTCGTGAAGCGCAGCGTAGCGCTTGATGAGGGTGAGCGTGATTGCCCACCATTCCGACTGAGGGTCGTGTACGTGTACGCGGCCTGGGGCGGCGGCCGTCTTCTTCCAAGACAACTGGTAGCCTTGGGCTCGGCCTGTGAATGCTGCGGCTTCCTTGGGGTCGATCTGGTGGTGGCTGATCATGGTGTTCTCGAGCGCCGTGACCCATTTGGCGTACTTGAGGTTGAGGTCGTCGGCGTCGTGCACCCAGTGAGTGCACACGAAGTGCGCGCGAGGCTGCTTACAACGTGTGGGCACAGCTTGCTGCCATTGTTCCTCCCAGAGGTCGCTCGGGATAGCGCACGGGATAGGCTCCTGTGCTGCTGGCTCGTCTTGTGGCTGGAGTTGTGCTGCTGCTTGTTGGAGTTCAGGAGGTAGATCGCGTAGGCGTGCTGCTCGAGCTTCTGCTGTTTTACGTTTCTTGATGGCGGTCTTGCTGTTGGGATCTGGTGGGATCCTAGGTCTGTCCACTATGGGGAATGCCCTAGGGGTATGGATCGACTGATACCACCAGGGGTCTGCGCCGCCTGCTCGAACTTCAAGGCCCACGTGGGTGGCCCAGGGGGCGGTGGGGCACTGGCGAATGGAGAACGTGTGCTCGATGCCAGTCTTGACCAATGCGAAGTCGAGCGTGAGTCCTTGGCCCTTGTCGCACGTGGCGGATCCAGGCGCTCGCACGATGGTAGCATTCCATTTGGCGGGCCACTCTGTAGCTGCGAGCTGCTCAGGTGTCATATTCCAATCGGCCAGGATGATCCACGGGTCAGTGAGCATAGTAACGAAGGCTCCCAGCGAGAGTAACTTATCGTGCACTGCACCCTCGATCTGCCTGTGGGGTTCCAGATACGCTGCAATAACAACCAGGTTGCCAGAGCGTCTGTGCCATACCACGGGCGTGAAGCCGCGGAACGGGTCGGGCCTGCGCTGGGAGATGGCCAGGTCGCGGAGGTGGTTGAAGGTTGTGGCCTGGACATGGCACCTGGAGAGGATAATCTCGCCACCCGTGTTGCCTCCGTCGGATCTGCTGGTCGGCGTGGCTGTAGTCGATGATATCCTCCAACCATCCGCTGCTAGCTTGTCGTAGATGAGAGGGGCTTTACCATGCGAGATGTGTGTTTCAACCAATGCCACCATCTGATATTGTTTGCCTGGCCCTGCCAGCCATTTCTCCGACTGTGGCCCCCACTGAGTAATGTTGGAGAAGAACAGGGAGTGATCTGACGGCGTGGGATTCGTAGGGCCTTCGTCTTGGTAGGCGGGTCTGGGGTCGGGTCTCGGGCTGCTGGGCTTCCAAGGGCCTTTCGCAGCGGTCAAGTCGATAGCTTTCGCCATCTCATCGCCCCCTACCAAGGACTGCGTCTTGGGCGGGGCGGCATCAGGGTGTGCCGTTGGCAACGGCTCCCCTGGAACCTGTACCATATGCCTGTCGACAGCTTTGGCCGTCTCATCGCTCCCTACCGAGGACAGCGTCTCGGGCGGAGCGGCATCAGGGTCGGCTCGCGCGGCACGCTGCGGCTGCCCTGGGCCCCATGTCACTGCGTCGACGGCCTGTGCCGCCTCATCGCCCCCAACCGAGGACAGCGTCTCGGGCGGGGCGGTAGCGTACTGCGCTGTGGCTGCGAAAACGATGTGGGCGTCCAACTCGGCCAGCTCGTCGAACGGGTCGAGGACTGCGTCCATTGTGTTGATGATCGGTGGGTTGTCGTAGCTCTTGGTCTCTGACGGTAGGCGTCCCGTCTCACCAATCCGTCCAGGGTCGGGTAGTAGTCGGCTAAAGAGGCTGCTGGGCTCCAGCCACGGCGGTCGCGGTGGGCTTGCGCATCTGGCTGAGCATATTATGTGCCTTGTCTTCGAGGTCGGGGCCCTTGTTGATCGCTGGTACAGGCTGTGCGGCGAAGCTGCCGTCATAAGTAGCGCCAGCAGCAGGTGCGGGAGGCTCATCGCTTGGCGCCGCTGGCGAAGGGGCCGCAGAGCCATCAGCGTCCGCTGCGGCTGTCGCTGGGGGTTCGCCTGCTGCCGCCGAGGCGGCGGGCGGTGGTCCACCTCCCTCTCGGGCGTGACCGTCCTCGTCGGACCGCTGCCGCTTGGAGGCGAAGCGCGTGCGCATGGTGCTGGCCTCTGATCGGAGCTGGCTGATGCGGCTGGCGGTGTTGCCGAAGAGCTCGGTGACCTTGGCCTTGAGCTCCGTGGCGAAGCGCTGCTGGAGGGATTCCCATGCCTGGCGGTCGCTGTCGTCGATGTCAAGGCCTTGGAGATCGAACGCCGAACCCGCCTCGATGGATATGTCACCGTCCTCGAGGAGGCTGGTGAGGTTGAACGTCGGGTTCTGCTGCGAGGCCGTGGGAGTAGCAGCGCCGCCCTTGCGAGCGACTTGGAGTGCATCGAGAGCGGCTTGGGCCTCGGCCTGGGCTTCTGCCAACTTGTAGGCGGCCTCCTCCGACGCCGCCTTGCGCTCGGTGTACCAGCTGAGCGCCTTTTGCTCGCTCTCGAGCAGCCTCTCCAGGTTGTTTTTGCAGCGGCGCTCCGTAGCCTGGGCGCGGCTGTGGATGTCGTTGAGGTCGGCTGGCTTCTGCGGCTGGGGCGGCGGAATCTGCGACTTGATACCGTCGATGGCTGCCTTGTCGATGTGGGGGGCGATCGCCTGGAGCTCCGCAAGGATGTCCTCTGCGGAGCGCGCCTTGGGGGTGTCGTTCTTGTTGGCCCACCAGTCGTCCTCTTGGTTCTTGCCATTGCCATTGCCGCGGCGACGGCGGGACTTGGGCCATGAAGCCCACGGTTCCCATCCACCCTCAGGGCTTGGCTGCTGGGTGCAGCTGGAGTCGGCCTGGGCTGCGGCCTTGGCGCGGGCCGCCCAGGCACCTTGAACTGGAGGCGGGGAATCTGTCCACGGCGCCAAGGCTTTGCTGCACCAGTAGCACGTCTGGTTGGTCTTGTAGTTCCAGGCGTACGAGCAGGAGTAGCACTTGACGTAGGCGCTGCGCTGCTGCGGGGGCGCCATGGACGAGCTGAGGAACAGAGGAAGCTCACCTGCGGGCTGCAGGAGGCACACGGAGGGTTGAACAAAGCTGTCGGGCTCAAGAGCCCTGGCACTGGCAGCGGACTAGCGGTATCCACTTGTTCCACTGTGGAACTAGGCATCTGAGCCACAATGGCTACGGAGGAGGAGGAGGATGAGGAGGAGGAGGAGGGGGTAGGAGGAGGGGGAGGGGGAGGGGGAGGAGGGAGGAGGAGGAGGAGGGAGGAGGATGGAGGAGGAGGAGGAGGAGTGGAGGAAGGAGGAGGAGGAGGGGAGGAGGAGGGGGAGGGGAGGAGGTGGAGGAGGAGGAGGAGGAGGAGGAGTGGAGGAGGAAGAGGGAGGAGGAGGAGGAGGAGGAGGAGGCAGAGGAGGAGGGAGGAGGTGGAGGAGGAGGAGGGGAGGAGGGAGGAGGGGAGGGGTGAGGGGGTGGAAGAGGGGAGGAGGAAGCGGAGGGGGGGAGGAGGATGAGGAGGAGGAGGAGGAGGAGGAGGAGGAGAGAGGAGGACGAGGACGAGGACGAGGACGAGGACGAGGACGAGGACGAGGAGGGGGAGGGGGAGGGGGAGGGGGAGGAGGACAAGGAGGAAGAGGAGGAGGAGGTGGAGGAGGAGGAGGAGAAAGAGGAGGAGGAAAAAGGAGGAGGAGAGGAGGAGGGGGAGGTGGGAGAGGGGAGGGGAGGAGGAGGAGGAGGCGGAGTAGGAGGAGGAGGAGCAGGAGGAGGAGGAGGAGGAGGAGGAGGAGGAGGAGGAGGAGGAGGAGGAGGGGGGCCAGTGAGCCCGCACCGAAAGGTTACTCCAGCGAAGGGTCACTCTGACGTGTAGTCGAACCTCCGCCCGAGAGGGGCACGACGTCCAACAGCGAACACGTTGTCCCAGACCGACAGCGGCCGCTGTCGGGCAAGCGACCCTCTACCTCGGAATGACAGTGTCCGCCGCGGCACAGACCACGAGTCTTTTCTGTTCAGAGTGGGCGGGAGCTGCCTAGAGCAACAAAAACTGCATAAACATAATGTCTCAGAGTCCGCACGGATATCGTGGATCCGAGCGGGGGGGCCCAGCGCCGATCCGAGAAATCCGAGCGGACCTCCGAGAAATGATGCTCACGCAGTGGCTTGTTATTCGAGTGCTGTCGGTCTTCGTCCCCATTCTTTCCGTAACCATTTGATCGACAGAACAAACTGGTTTTACGCACGTTGGTATAGCAAAGTTACGCGGTGGCTTCCGCGGGCCGCCAACGCGGCACGCCACTTTAGAAACGGGGGCGCTCACGCACGCACCCACGCTGAACGCTCACAAGCCAACGCCGGTGAAGACGACCCCGTTTTCCCGTGCCGCGCGGAACGCAGCCGTGCGACCGCCGCGCATCCGCGGGATCGTGCCCCAGAACCCAGATCGCGAGGGCGCGGACACGCATTCGTTCGCAGACCCTCGACGTCATGATTTCTTCATGACGACTCCGGAGGTCTGGACCCCTTCCCCGGGACCGGCTGTTCATCCTGGGTCGCTGTCTGACGGCCCCCAGAGCGGGTAAAGGCGCCCACAGGCCGAAAATAGCGAAAAACCTTCCGTCGTGGTTGTCTCATGACTCGAGAGGAGAGCATGATGCTTCGCAAGAGTTTGATGCCAATGAATGGAGGTTGGATTGGATCCGTCAGTGGATCATGTCCTGTGTGAGCTATGATGTTTCTTTATGCCAACCCATGCCCACCCCGTCCCGTCTCCAGGGACTTCGCATCCCCCCTATGATGGTGGGAAGGGGAGACGGTCCGCCACCCCCTGCGCTGCACGCACCGTGCAGGGTTAGTGGGGATTTGAACTGGAGGAAGCCTCCCGTCCCTCCCCCCTTCCTGCCTCCTCATGGTCGGGTTCGCAGGTCGTGGGACCAAAGGTCTGGACCCCTTCATCCTGGGGCGTTTGTTGACGGCCCCTGGGCCCGGCAAGGGCTCCAAAGGCCGAAAATAACAGAAAACCTTCCGTCGTGATTTGTTCATGACTCGAGGGAGTCTGGGTTCGCAGGTCGTGGGACCTTGACGCACGTGCCCCGCAGCTGCCTGCCCGTGGCCGGGCCGTCCCGGGGCGGCCGGCCTGGCGCCTCCTGCTCGGGCAGCGCCTGCGTCTGCTGCGCGGCCGCGGCGAAGGCCTCGCGCTGCCGCTGCAGCTGCGCCTGCTGCGCCTGCTGCGCCTGCTGCGCCTGCTGCGCCTGCTGCGCCTGCTGCGCCTGCTGCGAGGAGGAGGAGGAGGAGGAGGAGGAGGAGGAAGAGTAGGAGGAGGAGGGAGGAGGCGGGATGAAGGATGAGGGAGGGAGAGGAGGAGGAGAGGGGATGAGGGAGGAGGGGTGAAGAAAGGGGGAGGTGGAGGAGGAGGAGGAGGAGGAGGAGGAGGAGGAGGAGGAGAAGGAGAGCCTCGGGCCCAGAAACCCGCGGCAGTGTGCAGCTCTGAGGACCCAGCCTCGACCGTCAACCCGTCCTTTTTCCCATATACGTTTGCATCCATTTCCAAACCATACCTCTTACATTCCTTTTCGACTATATTCCCTTCCCGAGCACTGCTACGAGTCGCCGCTGCACGAGAATTTCTTGACCACGACATCCAGCACCAACGCTACCCAGCACGCCAGCTCCTCGCTGCACACCAGTGCCCAGCAGCCACCACGACATCCACCACAAGCTCCAACCATGGCGACGTCATGGAATGCAACTGCGAGCGGATCGGGAACGGCACCGCCACCGTGGAGGGCAGCATCGAGCCGCCCACGAAGCAGACCAACTACGCCGAGACCCACGACACCGGCAGCTGGAGCAGGCCTCCAACGCTGGAAGAAACACAACTGAACGGACCAGTGGGCCAAGGAGCACCCAGACAAGACCTGGGGCCACAGCCACAGCCACAACAACAACAGCCGCAGCGGAAAGGGCAACAACTACAGCGGTTAGGGAAAGACCGCGAAGGACGACACCGAGTCCGACGTCCGACAACTGGACTCCGAAAGGCAAGGAGAAGCTCAACAAGGGCAAGGGCAAGTCAAAGCATTAACCCGATGGAAAAACATAACGAAAGGACGACACCCAGACCTGCAACAACCACATCGCAAACACAGTCGGCAATGTTATGTCCATGATGAAGATCTAGTTACGCTACCGGAAGGCACGACTGGGAGCTACTACCCAAGGGCAACAAGCTGAGGGCAGACTGGAAGAAGATCAAGCACGTCGAGATGAAGCGGTCCGCAGCGGCCATTGCCAAAAATAGCGCCGCAGGCCCATCAACAGCAGGCGCCGTCCCAGCAAGCTAGGGAGATATCGAGAAAGCGAGACACACTACGGAGGACTACTACAAGCACGCCCAAACCCGCTTACAAAAAATACAGGTCTGCATGAGCGAGCTGGAGATCTAGATTCATTGCACCGGCCTTCCAGACGTACTGCAGTGGATTTCTGCGTGGATTTCTGTCAATGCGAAACGCCGGAAACGGCGAGTGAAAAACGAAGCGACTTTCGCGCGGATTCTTTTTAGTCTTCAGTCCTGGCCAAAAGAAACGCACGAAATTCACCACGAAATCCGGGACTAAATTCTCCAGGGCACTCCAGGCCTATCCTATCGTTTTCCGAACGAAATCCGCTCTGCGCTCTGCGATTTTGGCGCCATGACAAGCTCGAGGAGTTTACCATTCTCCAGCGGGACATCAGCAACGCCAAGGACGACCCGTACAGCGAAAACGAAGCTGCCGATGATGAGGCCGACAAACCACAACGCGAGGTACCGCAACAAAGGATCCCCACCCCAGCGCCAAGGAGACAGACAAGAGCCAGGGAGACTACAGAAGGTCAAGACGTCTGCACCTTGCTGACAAACCATAATGAGGACAACCAACGCATGGCCTACGACATCAAGAAGAACAGGACCGACGCCAACAACGAGATCCAGGACCTTGAGAACCACCTCCGACAGGCACAAGAGGCTGCTCAAAAACATCAGCGTGACCGACAAGGGCACAACCAGGGCACAAGGGTACCACAACGACCTTTTGAGCGAGATCCAGAACGCCAAGCAGACAACCGAGAAGATGGCATCCCACCATGAGTACATGCAGATGCGGAAGGAGGCGGCGGCGCTCGAAAGTACCAAGGAGGAGCCCTGCGGAAGACCAAGGACAACAACAACATCCGACGCACACCATCGATTGAAAAGCTGGAGAAGGAACTCAAAGACACACAGAAGAAGCTCGTCGACAGCATCAACGACAGTGCCAACATGGAGCCGCACTTAAGAGAGACAGCACAGATTGCAGACGAAAGACAAATGCACTACAACATGACCATTGAGGCCGAGCAGCACGGGTAGCCGACGAAAACCCACTTGCCGACGATCTCTGGGATGCAGTTCCACCGACCAACTGACGTCAAATACGAGGAGTGCATCGACGGTCAACGCGTTGCTACCAACATGCTCCCCGCATTCGAGGCCCTTGCTGTCACGCGACCACCTCGGTCAGACCCACCACCATAGAAGCCACCAGGAACCATATTGGCCCACGGCATCATCATGACCACGATCGCGGGCATCAGCGACCTCAAGTCCCACAGTACGCCCGACGTACGAGCAGAAGCCAAGAGGCAGCTGACTTGCATGGAGGCATGCTGCTACGACAACTTCGAAGACGAGCACCAAGCGGAGCTCGAGCTGAAAGGCTTCGCACCACGCAGACCGACCAGCGGCATCACACCGCGCGCGCAGAAGAAGCGGCTGGTCAGGCAGGACGGACAGAGACCCCATCATCACAGCACTTTCCAGCCGAAGCCGAAGCGGGAAGGGACGACCTGCCAGGACTCCGACGGGCCGGCGGCGCTGCGGGCGGGGCCTCGCCACGCTTGGCCGCCAGAGTGCCTCGCGCACGTCCTGGCGCGGTCGCGGCTGGCGGGTGAGCGGGGCCAGGAGGAGGAGGAGGACGAGGAGGAGGAGGAGGAGGGGGAGGACGAGGAGGAGGACGAGGAGGAGGAGGACGACGACGAGGAGGACGAAGAGGGGGAGGAGGAGGAGGAGGACGAGGAGGAGGAGGAGGAGGACGAGGAGGAGGAGGAGGACGAAGAGCACGGACCCACCACCACCGACGTGTTCGCTCACCGCCGCTCTGCCCAACGGGCTGTGCGTGACGCGGGACGGGCACGCGCCGGCACAAGCCCTGCAGAGAGAGCGAGACTCCCCAACGGGCTACAGCAGGTCCGTGCCGCGTCGACACCACGGGGATCGTTCAACCTTGAACGATCGGCCCTTTCCGAAACGCCCAAATCGTTCCACATCGAACGATTCTGGGTCGCCAGCGGCGTTCGACGTGGAACGCCGCTGGCGGGGTGGCCGCCAGTCGACACGACACGAACCTACCGTACCCCATGTCACCAAATTACCCGCTGCCTCCACCGCGCCCATGGACCGCCTACCACTACCGAGGAAAGCAGGGCATATGGAGCGCCCAGGTGTACTACTCCAGCCTAGACATCGAGGAAAAAAAACTTGGGATGGCTCAGCCAAAGTACTACTTAGCACGGGATGGAAGCGAGCTCTGTCTCATGGAAAGGTGACGTGTTTCTACGACGGCAAAGGGAACTATGTGCAATACCTCCCATCGTTACACGCGACCGCGCACAACCTCCGCCGCCGCCAGCACCCCCACCTCCGCAGAGGCTGGGATCCCTATCGCCACAAGCGCGCTCCTACTACGTCGATAGATCGGCCCTTGAGACTATCGTCAAGAGGTACCAGAGAGAAACCGAGTTCAGGGACGACGTGGACAACCTCACGAACAACATCAGCTTCCTCGACATCGACTTTCAAGTGCGCCCACTGACTTTCCCTGCTTAGCAACCAGAACGCCAACCTGACCACGCAGGAAGGCGTCCTACGGCCCATCGGCGAGACCCGGGCCGCACAGCCACAGCGCGGGCCAACACAACGACCAAACGACCGCCTCCTCAGGACGACGAACTACCCACCGCCGCAGCCACCTGTGCCTCACCAGCACGGGGCATCGAGCAGCAGATACGCGACAGCCACCTCGATGCCGCAGGACCCACGCACACCCGAGCCGACAGCAACACCACCGACGCCGAACGACAGCAGCAACACACCGGCCCCCCACAAGAGAGCCACGATACAAGGCACCTCCGGCCTCAGCCCAGCTGTACTCCGAATTACCACTTGCACAACGCAGACCAAGGAGGAGGGCACACGACGGACACGTCGAATGAGCACCAGATCAACTGCCAAGAGGTGCCATGAAAGCCACCACCAAGGATTCCACTGAAAATCATCAGAGTGGTAGCGGCTAACACCACCACCAGCACTCCGACCATAGCGCCGACCACGCAACCGGCAGTAAAAGTCAAGGCCAGCATCATGCACGACCTGGGCACAATGTTCGAGATGGCTGCACCCCCGACGGGACACATGCCACCAGACATGAGATCGGGGAACGAAAAAAGCAGCCGACACCAGGACCTGGTCGAGCGCTTGACCAACAGCATCAGCATGATCCCACATGGCCACGCACCCATAAATTTCAAGATTAAGACCCACAAGATCGTCTCAGACTCCTTCGGGAACATGAGCAACGCGAGCGAGCCTTGCGAATTGGACATCGGGGCATACCCTGACATGCGTCTCGAGCATGACCAGATCATGCTATACGTAGAGGCATCGTTGAACTGCGGTTTCCCGTACGACGGAAAGCGAGGAACGCGACTCCTCCGTACGACCGAGCGCCAGACCCTTCTCGCCTGGGACGCCAAAACACAGGTAGCAGTGATGCTGACCTACAAGATCGACAACGATTCAGACGAACAACCGACACCACACGCCATGACTACACGCCGTACGCTACGACCCGACCTCCATGCCAACGCCATTTCCTTTCGCGCGGCTCCATAGCGCAACCGCGACAGCAGCAATGAACAAGATACCCGAGCTGATCAACGCACAAGACCAACAACCCGACGGCCCAGTGAACGCCGGGAACAGAGAGCAACCAAACGCAGCCCAGCCACAAACGCAATACCACCCTGCCCACCACACTTCCGACTCAACCACCGACCGTCAAGCTGACCCGCCAACGGTGCAGCAACTGTCTCATCCACCCGGGCAGGTGCAACCGACGCGGAATGAGGAGCTCCAAATCTTCAACAGGCGGGCACCTTTCGCAGAACTCGTAGCGTGGCAGCAATAGCATTGCGCCCAACAAGCATCGCCAAGCGCAGCAGCCGAGACCAGCATGCTTCAGAGCACGGACCCGCCGACAGCAGCACATGATCGACTCTGGCAGTCAAACCAAGCCGACAAAGAGCCCCACGGGGGAGAACAGCCAGCGTGCAGCCATACTCCCAAGAGACAGCCAGCAGCCAAACCCCGACGCGGTTCGAACCAGACCAACAACCGACCGGTACGATAGCAACCAGGCCCACAACGACGGCACAGCCAAAAGGGTCAAAGCAGACGGAGGCTCAGCGCCTTGGCCACCGGGCCGAAAACAATCAGCACCTCAAGGACCAAAAGCCCGACCAAGCCACGGCAAATCAGGAAACTCCCCCCTGACTGCCCACAGCCAAGAGGCACACACCTCTCTCGATGGGACTAGCCTTACAGCGGCCCGTCAGTGCGCGCCTACTCCCTACCTACTTTTCACAGATGTGTCCACTTTTGCTCTACGACAGACAGGCGACGTCACACCACCTGCTACACTCCTGCACCCAACCTCAGCATTATCTTTGACCCAAATGTACGCACTCACCGGCTGGAACGGCAGCAGCACAGCTGGTCGTACAATCCTTAGATCCACCTCTAGGACGGCAGCGGAAAAGGGGACCCCCACGGGTCTCAGCACACGGCAACGGCGACGACGTCAACAACACATATGCTACGCAGTGAGTCCCTGAGGGGCATTCTCACCCACAAGCTATGCTGGATCATCCGACGTGTCCGCCGAAATAAAGTCTCAGCATACGGCGGCGAGGCAGACAACAGCTATGCTACTCACTAGGTCCCTGCGGGGCATCCTCACCCACAAGCTAGGCTATTTCACCCGACGCGCATGCTGAAATAAGACCTCCACCTACCTCCAACTTTCCCTGCCTCCTGGCTTCCTTCTCGCAGCCCCTCAACCCGCTTCAACTCGCTAGCCTTACTCCACCCCCCATCCTGTGGCGGTGGGATGGTGTGGAGTACATGGAGGGGCTGGGCAATTACTCGCCGCAGGCCGTCATGGCGAGGGCCAGGGCGGCCGCAGCCACAGCACAGCCAGCAACGGGCTGCAGCGCAGCCAGCCACTAGGGCACCTCCCAACATTCGCCACTAGGGTACTTCCAAACCTTTTTCGCGTGCTTCACCGCTGTAGCGGTGTCACTGTACCGCTTGCGAACTACGCCCCTCCACCTCTCTTTCTCCTTCAGGCTGCAGGCAGACGTAGCCACCAGCTGCCTGCACGACAACTAAGGTAGGTAGGTTGGGACGGGTATCTACGTCGGGGGGGGGGGGGGGCGACAAACCTACAGCGTGCCACCGCCAAGGACGGCATAAACCTCCCGCAATCACGGCGTAAGCCCCCCAAGCGGCCACCACTCCCGTGATCTGGGTACCCTACTCTTGCTTGTCAAGGGAGGGTACCAGTCACGGGGATGGTGGACGCTTCGGCGGGTTCCTATGTGCTGGGGACGAAGCCCTTCTGCCATCCACCTGGGCAAGCGTGGCCACCTGCCCGTAAGGCCACTGTCGGAGGTCCCGCTACCGCCGGGGGGGCACAAGCCTCCCTCACGTTCGGTGGAGCCCCCCAAGCGGCCCCAGTGTCAGGGTGCTGGGAACCCTACGCCTGGTCTCAGGTGAGGGATCCCGCCTTTGACCCTGAAGACGCCTGTGGGGGGTTCCTGTGATGAGCTGAGGGAGAGAGGCCCTTGTACCCTCCATGCTGGCGAGCGTGGACACACACCTCCACTGCCATACTTTTGCGTCGGCGGCTTGGCAGGGTGACTGCGCTGGCGGATGGGGCAAATGCAGGGCACACAACTGCAGCTGCAAATTAAGCCGCGAAGCACGGGATGAGGAGAGGGAAGGCCCGGCGCGGGCGGGAGGTAGACGGAAGCCGGGCCCACTCAGAGCGGGGCCAGGCCGCGGCGGGGGGGCGCCGGGGCGGCGGGGCGGCACCCGCGGGGCGGCCGGGGGCGGGCAGCACCCAGGGGCGGCCGCGCGAGGCGGGGGGGAACAGGCCTGAGCAGTGCTGGGGTTGGGCGGCACAACAAGGCGGCCGAGCGCCGAGATCGAGCCGACCTTCCAGGTGACAGAGCAGCCGGAGAAGACCACCTAAGGAGAGGGGCCAGGGGGTAGCTGGGAAGGGCCCAGCAGGCGAAGCGAGAAGACGCGCCGAGATCCAGGGACCTGCGAGGCGCCAGAGGGCGGGCGGCCCGGGCACCCAGGACTAGGGACCGCGGGGGGCGGAGCAGCCCAACCCCCGAACTGGGAGGGGCCGGGCGGACAGGATGGAGGCCGCAGGCAAGGACTGCCAGCTACATCCCCACCTACGCTGTTTAATGCCGCTCACCTCTCCACGCCAAAGCTGTCTTTTCCTGTCCCTCCACGCGAACAGCAACCACCTGCCCGGTGGCAAACGCAGAGCTACCCGCCTCAGCTTCCGTTGCTTCTTCTCACCCCACACCTCTGAGCCAGCAGGGCACCTCTACGGAGGGAGACCCTGGGCGCCCCCAAGGCACTGGCCCCAAGATGCCAGGGGATCCGTTGGGAGGACCAAGTCCAGCCAAGTTACGCGGCCCCAAGAGCCTCTCACCTACTTTTCCCTTGCAGCCGCCGCCACTGCGACCTGTATATCCCTCCTCCTTCCCTCCTCTTCGATGTTATGATGTGTGTATGTATGTATGGCTTTCCTCTTCCTTCTCCTCGTTCCTTGTCTGCCTTTTTTGACGTGATCTTCATTTAGCCTCAGCTACTGGCGTGACGCCGCGTTGGCGACCTTGCTTGATCAACCCCCCAGGGCCCACCAGCCCTAGGGGGGGAGGGCTGCGTCGGCACGACACCCCAGCCAACAGGCAACAGGCAGGAGGATTAGTAGGAGGAGGAGGAGGAAAAAAGAGGATGGAGGAGGAGGGGGAGGAGGATAACACATGACAAGAACCGACGCGAGACAAATGTGAAGAGAGACGGACGACGGTGAAATGGCTCCCGACTGCGTACGAAACGCCCTCCGGCGGCTACCGCTGGACGGACGGCCTCCTCTGGCCAGCAGCAGGACAGCTGAAGGGGGCGCCAGGCTGCCCGCCTGCGGCACCACCCTTCCGAAAGGGGAGAGGGGAGGAGCAGAGAGCGTTTCGAACCCCCTGGGGCGAGGCCCAGGGCTTCTGGAATCGCGGCCGAGAGGGGGAGGGAGAGGAAAGAGACGTGAGCATGTTGCCTGGATGTTGACTGCCTGACCTGCTCCGCAACAAGCGCGAATGCGGAGCCGACGAAAATCGAGACCCCCCTCGCTTGAGGTCTTGGGGGGGCCTCCCGCAAAACGGCGCGCAGCTGAAACATCAAACATCTGAGAGAGACGTGAGGAGGAGGAGGGGGAGGAGGAGGGAAGGACCGCGCCTGCTTGGGGCGGTCGTTGCGGAAGGTGCAGTGCTGCCATGCCGAGATGCCCGCGGTCATCAGGTCCATCACCTGCGGGAGGGTGCCCCACACCGAGCCTGCCCAGACCCAGTACCGGTGCATAATCCTCCTCCTTTTTCGTATGATTGGTATTATTGCTAATACTAGTATGATTATTCATGTCCTACGTTGTCCTGAAATGTTTCTTAGTATTCGTGTTGTGTGTCTTCTTCTTGTAGATGTATACCATTAGTGGTCACATTCGGTGTATTATGATTCGTCTTAGTAATGGCAGTAGTAGTAGTAGCAGCAGTAGTAAGAGTAGTAGTAGTAGTAGTAGTAGTAGTAGTAGTAGTAGTAGTAGTAGTAGTAGTAGTAGTAGTAGTAGTGTAGTAGTAGTAGTAGTAGTAGGTATCAAGGCACCGTAGTAGTGGATGTGTGGATGAGTGGTGGTGGTGTGGTGTTGGTGGTGGTGTGTGGGTATGGTAGGTGGTGGCTGGTGGTGGTGGTGTTGGCTGGTGGTGGTGGTGGTAGTAGTAGTAGTAGTAGTAGTGTAGTTAGTAGTAGTAGTAGTAGTAGCAGTAGCAGTAGCAGTAGCAGTAGTAGTAGTAGTAGTAGTAGTACTAGTAGTAGTAGTAGTAGTAGTAGTAGTAGTAGCAGCAGCAGTAGTAGTAGTAGTAGTAGTAGTAGTAGTAGTAGCAGTAGTAGTAGTAGTAGTAGTAGTAGTAGTAGCATGATCAACAGTATGGACTTTTTTTGCTTATGGGTAGTGTCACTATTAGTGATATTATTATTAGCACTATGCTTAGTGTTCCTATAACTGGCATTAGCATTCGTCGTAGTACGTTCCGTGCTTTTATTGTGGTTGGCATGATGCGTATTAGTATTAGTAGTATTGTTCCTCTTATTCGTCGCATCATGACAACTGTTAATAGTCGTGTTCCCCTTTCTTACTATTCTTGGTAGTAGTATTACCTTCTTCGTTTTATTACTGGTATGCTTACTCGCTTGAGTACTCTTAGTGCTTTTCTTTGTTTCGCAATATAAAATATCAGTATTATTATCTGTACTAATCGTCTTACTCGTCTTCCTCCCCCTCCTCCTCCTGATCATCCGCCTCCTGCTTCTCTTCCTCCTCCTCCTCAGCATCAGCATCAGCATCAGCATAATCATCATCATCATCATAATCAGCATCAGCATCAGCATCGGCAGCAGCAGCATCATCATAATCTGCATCATCATCCTCATCATCATCAGCATCAGCATCATCATCATCATCAGCATCATCAGCATAATCAGCATCATCATCATCATCAGCAGCATCAGCATCATCATCATCAGCAGCAGCATCAGCATCAGCATCAGCATCAGCATCATCATCATCATCATCATCATCATCATCATCATCATCATCATCATCATCATCATCATCATCATCATCATCATCATCATCGTCATCCCTCTCTCCTCCCTTGTCCAGGAGGGAAATGAGAAGGGGCGGGCCTTCTCGGAATAATCGGAAGTCCCTCGGCCCCACGTCTGCCCCGAAGACGCGCGGGGAAATTCTCAGAACTCGCGATGGCTTCTGGGAAGTCCCGCCGCCTTCTAAGAAGGCCAGTTTCTTCCCACTTTCCCCCCTCGCTCGCCGCCCGTACTTGAGCATCGTGTCACCGATCCCTGTCCCCACTGGCATGGCCTGGATCCCACTGGCCAACGTGCCCCCCGGGATGGGGGTACGTGCAGCTTCCTTCGGGCTTCGAAGGGCACATCCCCACCCCCTCCTCCTCCTCCTCCTCCTCCTCCTCCTCCTCCTCCTCCTCCTCCTCCTCCTCCTCCTCCTCCTCCTCCTCCTCCTCCTCCTCCAGGTCAGTGGGATGGTGGGGATCGGGACGGGGACGAGGATGGGTATAGGGATCGGTGAAACTGCCTTCAAGTAAAAGTAAACTGTTGGGAAGGGGGTCCAGCGCCGTTCCAGGAATTCCGCGCGGACCTCCGAAATTGCCTGTGCATGCGGCTTTCTCTCCGACTGCAAACCGATCCTGGGCCCGCGATTGCGAGGCGGGGATCTGGCGGGAGGATCGGCCTGGCCAGGAGCCGTGCAAGGCGGAGGTGTGTACTTGGCGCCCTCCGAGCACCAGCTGCGGCAGGATGTGCATCTGCGGCTTGGCCAGCTCGATGATCGCCGTGCTGTCCTCCGCGGCGGGTATGCGCACCCTCACCTCGAAGCCCGGCTCCTGGTCCGGCTGCTCCGCGCACTGCAGCAGAGCCCTGGTCGCGTTGCGCGAGGTCGTGCGCAGGTCCTCCACCACGAACCCCGCGCACCGCACCGTGTACCTCCAAGGGAAGCCGAGCTTGCTCCCCGCGGCGTGAAGATGATGCTGCTCCCAGCGATCCCCACCGAAACCGTCGCTCACATGCTATGATGTGCTGTGCGCTGTTGTGATATGGTGGTCTGGCGTAGTATGCTATGCTATGCTATGCTGTGGTATGCCGCGCTCTGTCATGGTATGATGCGTCATGTTACGGACTGCTACGTGCTGTGGTACTGTGCTACGGTGCGAGGTGTTGTGTCGTGGTATGCTACGAGATGATGGGTACTGTCACGGTGTGTCATCGTATGCTCTGTTATGCTGCGGTGTGAGGTGCGGTGTTATGCTATGTCCAGTGTGACCAGTTACGTCAAAGCTTGTGATGTTATGATGTGTTGTGCTATGATGTAACAGATTATACCGCGCTCTGTCATGTCATGCTTTGCCATGGTATGTGATGATATGCGATGTGATGCTGCGTTATGTTGATCCGAACTGTCATCGAATGTGTTAATGTGCTGTGTTGTGTGATGCTATGGTATGTCAAGTTATGTGAGAAGGTGGCGCGTTGTGTGTTGCTATGTTCAGTTATGCGTTGATGTGTGTACATGGTCGGAGGTGAGGGGGTGAGATCGAAGTGGAACGGAGAGCCCCCCTACCGGGAAATCGATTTCGGTTTCGTGTTCGTGCGTGCCGTGCGTGCGGGCGAGGCGAAGCTGCGTGAAGGCTGTGGCTGAGACCAATGAAGTCCCGCGATGTCCCGTGGTGTGTGGCTGAGGCGCGGCCGGACCAAATGACTCCCTTCCGGGCGGCCGGTGGCCCGCGGTGTCCCGCCGGTGTCCCGCGGTGTCCCGCGGTGTCCCGCGGTGCCCCGCGGTGTCCCGCCGGTGTCCCGCGGTGTCCGCGATGATGATGATGATGATGATGATGATGATGATGATGATGATGATGATGATGATGATGATGTTGATGATGAGATGATGATGATGATGATGATGATGATGATGATGATGATGATGATGATGATGATGGTGATGCTGATGATGATGATGCTGATGATGATGATGACGATGATGATGATGATGATGATGATGGTGATGCGGATGATGATGATGAGGACGATGATGATGATGATGACGATGATATGATGATGATGGTGTCCCGATGATGATGATGATGATGATGACGATGATGATTATGATGTCGATGATGATGATGACGATGATGATGATGATGCTGATGGTGTCCCGATGATGAGGATGATGATGATCATGATGCTTATGTTGATGATCATGATGATGACGATGATGGTGTCCCGATGATGATGAGTATAATGATTTTGATGTTGATGATGCTGATTATGATAGTGTCCCGATGATGATGATGTTGATGATGATGAGGTTGATGATGATTATGGCGTCCCGATGATGATGATTATTATGATTGTGATGATGATGTTGTTGATGATGATGGCGTCGCGATGGTGATGATGATGATGATGTTGATGCTGATGTTGGTAATGATGATGATGGTGCCCCGGTGATAACGATAATGATGATGCTGATGATGATGTTGATGATGATGATGATGTCGATGATCAGGATGAGATGATGATGATGATGATGATGTCCCGATGATGATGATGATGATGATGATGATGATGATAATGATGATGATGATGATGATGATGATAACGATGGTGATCATGATGGTGTCCCGATAATGATGCTGCTGATGATGATGACGATGACTGTGTCCCGATGCTGCTGATGATGATGATGTTGATGATGATGATTGTGATGATGGTGATGATGATGATGATGATGGTGGTGTCCCGATGATGGTGGTGTCCCGATGATGTTGATGACCGTGATGATGATGATGTTGGTGTTGATTATGAGGACGGTGTCCCGATTATGCTGATGTTGGTGATGATGATGCTGATGTTGATGTTGTTGTTGATGATGATGACGTTGATTGTGAGAGCGGTTGTGATATCGATAGTGAGATCGATAGTGAGACCGACTGTGATATCGATTGTGAAGTCGATTGTGAGATCGACTGTGATCTCGATAGTCAGATCAATTGTGAGATAGATCGAGTAAGATCAATTGTGAGATCGATCGAGGGAGATCGATCGAGCGAGACCGATACTGAGATCGATAGTGAGACCGATCGAGTGAGACGTTGGTTCCTCCCCCCCCCCGAACCTCCTTATCACCCGAAGGGTGGTCGTATAGGTATGTTTGATGTGTTTGTCATGCTACGGAATGATATGAACTGTCATGCTGTGCTATGGCATGCACTGATATGTCATGGTGTGTGATGTTACGATATGGTCTGTCATGATATGGCATGGTGTGCTCGGATAATATGTTATGTTCGGCGGTGTGGTGTTATACTCTGTTCTGTGGAGGACCTGGGGATCTGGCGGCCGCGGCATGCAGAGTGGGCGAGTCGGCGCGGGGGGCGGGACCATCAGGGATTATCGGGGGACCTTGGGATCCTGCGGCCGCAGAATGCAGGATGGGCGAGTCGGCACAGGGGGCGGGACCACCAGGGGTTGTTGGCGGCCGCGGTATGCAGGGCGCGCGGGCCGGGAGGTCTGTTCTTAAAATCTAATTAACGACCCCAACCTGTCGGGGGGGGGGAAAAAGCACGACGGACTGTCTTTAAGCAAATTTCGGCTTCCGGGCCCTCACTGGGCCCCAGAACCGTCAAGAAGCTAATCTGGATGAAAATCCAAGCCCTGAAGAGGGGTCCAGACCACTGGGGGTCCACTGGTGAAACAATCACGACATCGGAGTTCTGGGTCCTCGGAGGCCCCTCAAGTGAGTCTCGCTTAACCGATGCCCATCCCCAGCGGCGTGGCCTGGGCCCCACTGGCAGATTTACCCCCTAGATGGGGATCCAGGTCGTTTCCTTCGGATTTCCAGGGGTGCATCCCCAACTGGGGTGGTAATTTGGTGGGGGTCTCGAAGGGGATGGGGATGGGGATGTGGATCGGTTGAACGAGTACCGACCAAGCAATGCCAGGGCAGGATGGGGCCGGAAGATCGCACCGCATCGCCGATGCATCGCCGGTGCACTGGCGACGTCGGGACGGGGAAGAAATCTGAGTCCTGATCGAGCCCAACCTAGGTCGGGCATGTCCTCCTACAGGCGGATTTCGGACGAAAACTCTAAAATACCCACACACACACACACACACACACACACACACACATATATAGAGAGAGATATATATATATAAATATAAGACAAAAAAAAACATATCCAAAAAAAATAACACGGCCAAAAAAGCGTCCTCTGCCTATTTGTGATTGGTTTGGGATATTCCCCCTATAGAGGGACGTGCCCGACTCTAGCCTAACCGGCGATGCAGCGGCGATGCGGCGTGATCCTGCGACCTCGTCTGGTCTGGCCCCACTTGGGAGGCCTGACACTGGGAGGGATGGCGGAGGTGGAGGAGGAGGAGGGGGAGGGGGAGGAGGAGGGGGAGGAGGAGGAGGAGGAGGAGGAGGGACGTGGTGATGGAGGAGAAGGAGGAGGAGGGACGTGGCGGTGGAGGTGGTGGAGGAGGGGGAGGATGCGGAGCAACGAGGAGGAGGAGGAGGAGGAGGAGGAGGAGGAGGAGGAGAAGAGGGGCATGGGGGCAGGCTGGGGACCTGTGGGGGCCGAAGGGGGGGGGGAAGAGCTGGGCTAGCGGAGCTCGAAGCGGCCCCCTCGAGGCCTCGAGAGCGCCGCGGAGGTGTCGATCGAGAAGGAGCCGCACCGCATCCGCAGCCGCCCCACGGGCGTCGCGCCGGTGAAGGCCACGTCGAACAGCAGCTCCCCGGGCCACCGCCAGGAGAAACGGAAGCCCCGCCCTGGCGGCTTGTCCGGCGGCCCGCCGCCGTCACCGCCCTGCTGACCTGGGGGAGCATACAATGACATACAGGGCAGTTTTTGATACATTGGATTTTTTAACATATGGCATGTTTAATACATGATTAATTCATGAATAACTTTATGCATGAACTAATCGTTGTTTTTAATTCTGAATCCCTGCATTTTTAATACATGATCCGCACGCGAAGCATGTATTAAAAACGGCAGTGTACATAGAAGAAACAAACACAAAAACATAAACTTTTGGCGCTCCGCGCAGATTTCTTGGATTCTCGCTGGACCCCCCTCCCTGGCGCGCGGAGCGCGCCAGGGGCGGCGCCGGAGGCGCCGCGAGCGGGCTTCTTCGAGTACAAGCCAGTCGGAAGAAGTAGGTAGAAACATGAAGTAGGAAGGCGGATAAAGTAGATTGGGCTCAGGCCTTCCCAGAGAATCACAAAACACAGCAAAAGCATCTCGGCGCTTGAAGTAGGAAGGCGCTTGAAGCAGGTTGGGATCTGGGGATCCAGCAATATCTACTTTCAACGACCGGCGTGCAAACAGAAGAACTCGGAGGTCCGCGCGAACTCCTCGGATCGCCGCTGGCGCCCCCGCCAGGGAGGGGGGTCCGGCGCCGATCCGAGAAATGCGCGCGGACCTCTGCATTCTTGTGCTCAGACCACCCTAACCCAACCCGAAGACCCGAATTTCGGGTTGGGGGGGGGTATGGGCTCCATATGTGTTTTTTCGATGTTCCCGGACCCCCCCCACTGGAAATGGAAGGCAACATGAGGCCTTCGGGTTGGGTTGGGTTGGTTTGGTGGGTAATGATTGCTTGTTCCCCGAGGACCCCCCTGCGCAGCACCCGCCGGAGTCGGCGGCGGCGGCCTCGGGGCCGCCGCACCCGCGCTGCTGGCGCTGCCGCAGCTCCCGCCGCGGGCCAGCGGGCTGAGGCCCGCCGCGGTCGGCTGCGGCGCTGGCCGCGGCGCGGGCGAGGCGGCGGCCGCTGCGCCGGGCGACGCCGCCGCCGGCCGCGGCTGCGTCGGCGTCGACGGCGGCGTGCCGGCACCCGCCCTCGGCGTGGCCGGCTGCGACGGCGGAGGCTCCGGCCTCGGCGCCTGGGCGGCAGGGCTCCCGGGGGGCTGCCCGGAGGCCGCCTCCGCCTGCTCCGCCAGGCGGCGGGCGGCGGAGCGCCCGGCGTAGCAGATGTTCTCGGCGAGCACGTCGAGGATGAGCGTCAGCTGCGCCCGCGTCAGCGACATGTGGCCGCCGCTGCCGTGCCCTCCGGGGTCCCCGTCGCCCGCGGCCGTGGACGTCGTGTGGAACTCGATCGGGCCCTCGCTGGGGGAGCAGAAAAGTGCAGAGGCATAGGTTGCTGGAGCTCCGCGCGGGTGTCTCGGATCGGCGCTGGGTCCCCCCTCCCTGGCGCGCGGAGCGCGCCAGGGGCGGCGCCAGAGGCACCGTCAGTTGCGCCAAGCGCAGGGGGGGGCGGCCCGTCCTTGCGAAGCCCCCGAGGACGGGACGGGGTGGGCACTGAGGGGCACCACAGGCCCTTCTGGAGCCAAAGGTGGGCACCACACGTCCGCCACCACCCACGGAGGCACACCAAACGGTCCTCCACCCTTCATGCCGTGCAACACCCAGTGAACTCTTCAACCTGACATCTCAACCTCTCTCCAGGAGATCCGCGCGGCGCTCCGGCAGTCTGTACTTGCGCCGTTTTTCTTCTTCGACCTCGCCCGTGTTGCGCAGCACGGCGTCCATGCGCACCGGGCGCAGGATGTCCGAGGCCACCCGCACGGGCTTCGGGGCCGGCGTCGCGCCCAGCACGTGGGCGCCGCGGAGCTGCAGCTCCACCTGGGCGACGATCAAAAACGAGCCTTACGCGAGATGGCATAGCGACATGTTACGCGGTGGCTTAC